GGAGGGAGGGAGAGAGCGAGAGCGAGAGCGAGAGCGAGAGCGAGAGCGAGAGCGAGAGAGAGAGAGAGAGAGAGAGAGAGAGAGAGAGAGAGAGGGAGGGAGAGAAAGAGAGAGAGAGAGAGCGAGAGCGAGAGCGAGAGCGAGAGAGAGCGAGAGCGAGAGCGAGAGCGAGAGAGAGGAAAACCTACCTCCAGCCTTTTGGGAATAGCAAGCTTCTTAACCAGCAACTTTCTGATGTGTGAGACACATGTCCTTACTGAACACCTCAGATATTTCCTGTGCAGGGGTTTCAAGTAACTTTTTCCTTCGTGGTCGTCAACTATCAACGAACTGAATTGACAATAAGTTAAGTAAATAACCATCTTAGAAGAAGAGAAATTATATTGTATATGATGTCTGATGACATTGATGTCTTTGTCTATGTATACTTACCTATGCCTTTCTAAACACATAGACAGCTGCTCATCATTCCTGTAAAAGTGACTTGCTGTTGGATCCAGTCTACCACTCAGTGATGTTTGTACTTGATTCTGTACTTTATCTAACCCCCTAGATTTGTAAAACTCTCTTTTTCTATCTTCTTCATCTGTAACATTGAAGAATGTGGTATTTAGACTTTGACACTTTGGGTTAAGAATAAAATAGTTTCAGCCACATTGGCTGGTACATTGTTTTTCTTAGCTAATTTCAAATTTGAAATGAAATAAAAATGAAATTAAAAATCACAAATTTGTCAGAAAATTGGAAATTGAAATATGCTACACTTTATATCAATCAATATATTTTTGTGATGTTTTATTTACATTTCTGTGAATGACACGCTTACAAATGATTCCTATTCTACACCACCGCCAAGGATGTTTATCAGTAAATCCAAACTTGTCAGAGATGCATTTTTATAATCAGCTGTTTATAAGTCGTCGTCCGATAATGGGGACTTATATATATGTATATATAAACAGGGAAACAGACTCGACTAGCCATATTGTGCTACTTCTGTTTCAATAGATTATTGAAAGTTTATCATTATTATTATTATCTTAGATATTTTCATAATTTACTTGTATTTATTTACTTTAGTTATTTATTTATTGATTTTCCTGTAATACTTACAATCTATAAATATTATTATTATTATATCAATTTGTTTCAGGATCTGATTCAAGATGGCCGAATAGTGGCCATTTTTGTGCTGAAAAATCTTGTTCAAACTTTGTACATACATATTATCTGGACGTTGATTATCCGAAATGTTCGGTTATCCGAACCTACTGTGTGTCCCCCAAAGTTTGTATGCAGGTCTGGCTGTGTTCCGTATAATACAAAAGTCAACTGTGAACAATAAATACTACAGTTGTCTTGCGTGATTTCCTGGTGCAACACTTTCAATAAAGCTATTATCAACATGTAATCTGACGTCTTTCACGGCTATGTTCATTGTTTACAGTGTCTGCGCAAACAATGAAACAAATTACAGTATCCAATAATTTCCTAAATTCAAACAAGCCTAATATGCAACACCAGTGTTCCACTGTAAATAAAAAATTTCCTAAAAACACAAACTTCATTAAATGTCTTCTCCACTGTTTACAGTCAGATCCTTAACTTAAGTTGTAAGTCACTGCAGTTCGGATGCGTTTCCCGGGAAAATTGTACGGGGTTCCACCGCTGTCAAAGAAACACGGCCATGAGCCGATCCCACGTTTTTTTCGATTTTTAGTTTTCATGTCCAGTATCAGAAGTCACACCCTTTTCGGAATAAAAAATCAAAGAAAATAACTTCTGGGATGTCTTGCCACAGAAGCAACAGCAGTTTAATAGTGCAGTGAAAAAGAGTGACGAAATGACAACCTCTTGGTGTGCCTCTTTGATGGTTTATCAGCAGACAACGGCAACCAATGACCACAGTCGGCGGGCAGTTTGATGGTTCACAGCGTTGAAGTGTTTACGTCCGGTGATCACAGTAGCCAACCTGGACATTTACGGCAATTTATTATGTCAATTGTTCTAGGTGTTAAAAGCTTTGCTGAATTCAATATAATCGGGACATCTTGTAGCAGTTTACTATTCGAAAATCCACGAGCAATCTGGTAACATCGAGCCGGTCTATACACAGCGAATACGAAGCGACCTTTCACCTGTTTACTTTATCAGCGTCTTTTATCTACCGTTGGCATGGCTACCCCAGTAAAACGCAAACGCTGAGTGCTTGATTTGGACACGAAGGTGTCAATTATAAATCGACTAGAATGTGGCGAAACCGCAAGCAATCCATCTACCGAGTATGGTGTTGGTAAATCGACGATATCCGATATCAAGGCAAAACAAAAGCTGTTGTTTTTTTTCCCAGTAAAACGGATTTAAGTGCAGGACTGAAACGAAAGATAATGAAAACAGCCAATGACGATCGTTTAGAGAAATCAGTCTTCACTTGGTTTTCCCAAGAAAGAATCAAAGGAACTATATTATCGCTACATTTTACGGACATTTTAAAACATTTTTTAACATTCCAGCATGAAACATTTTTATTACAATGTATTACTTTTTAAAATTGCAACTGATTTAATAAAAATGTTTTTAATGATGTACTCTACATGTACTATTGTTTGATTTCATTACAGTCATGTGCGTTAGAATTTGTGTGTATGTGAGCCTGTAAATTTGAGCACGCCCACACAAGATCGTATATCCGAACTGTTTGCATAACCGAACAAAAAGCAAGTCCCCCTAACAGTACGAATTATCAACGTTCTACTGTACCTTGATTCACGTCATTTTGTTTTTCAGGTCTGATTCAAATGGCCAACTGGTGGCCAGTTTGTTTTAATGAATGCA